CTCCCCGGGAAGGCTGCGGGTCCCTGGGGCACAGCCTGCTGTCCCCCGGGGGCAGGACCGGGGCAGCACCCACCACCTCAACAGCAAACCTTGCAGGAACTCATTTGCCTCTGAACAAAGTCGTAGAGGTTTAGAATTATCAAAGAATATTGGTCAGTATAACTGCTGGACCCTGGGAAGATTTCATTTCCCCGCCATTCCTTTTTCAGCCTGAAATACATTCCCTTAAAAGGAAGGGGGAAATTCACTTTGCTTTAAAGTACAGGGGGGTAGGGGAGGGGTTGTCTTGGGTTTTCTCCATTTAACATGGAGCCTGCCACTGTGTCCATTCCACAGCTCCCGCCACAATCTTCAAAAATCTCAAAATTAATCCTAGCAGCTTGTGTCGACGGCCCGCGACCCTTCCTTTCCCTCAGAGGACTCTTGCTTTTCTGACAAGAAGATTGTCATGGCAATCAACACATCCGTTGCTTTCCAGTCTCCGTTCCACGCTGGCGTACTAATGCCAAATGTGATGTTTTGGAGAGCACAGTGCTAGACCTTCTTAATCTGCCTCTCCCATGGGGAGCTTATTAAATCATGTAACTGCTGGCTTTCTGCAAAACTCCAACGTTAATGTAGCCAGAGGTCAAATTATGTGGGAGACCATTTATTCCGCAATGTGTAAGCACTGCTTGGGAACCCAGGGTTGGTTTTTTTATCTTTTTTTTTTTTCCTTTCTTGATAGGTGTCCAAAAATCTCTCCTTTTTTTGTTATATTTTTTTTTCTTGAATATCTGTCTATCAAATCAGCAGCTTCAAATGTCAAGAGGTAACAGTGTCTTCTTCAAACCTTTGAGGCCGCCCGCCCTGCCCTGTCCCCGCTCCTGTTTTACACCACACTCCGCTTGCCCCATGGCAGTGCCGACGAGCCAAGCTCCTTCTTTCTCAAGGCCTGGCCTGCTCTGCAGAACAGTCTGTTTCAGGCGGGCTGGCTAACTCAGAGAAAGCAAGCTGTAGGTTTAGCTTTTTGTAAAAAAGTTCGCTGCTTTTTGTAAAACACAGGGATTGCCGCGTCTGGGCCCAGCCAGCCATCTCCCCCCGCGGCTCGCGGCCCGGCGTGAAACGGAGAGCTCGGGCGCCGCAGCAGCAGCCGCCACCGTGCTCAGGGGACACAGCTTTGTCTCCCGATCGCCGGCATGGCACGGAGAAGCCTCTAAATCCTTGCTTGGATGCCTCCGGTGTAGAAGAGGGAGAACACAGGCCCCTTAGCGTTTGTGTTCTTTGTGCTTTTACGCCTCGTCTGCTCTCTGTGAGGGCTCCAGGGCCCATAGTCGGAGTATCTGTGTCCCAGCGGCTGTTGGGATGGCATTTCAAGAACTAAAGATGCATAATGACCTACATAGTGTGTCCTATGCTTTTTTCAGGATGCATTTAATTCTGCAACAGCCTTTAAGATCACCACTAACTGTCCCTGTTAGTCCATACAGACTCCTTGGAAGCACGCTTTTCCCCATACGTTTATCTGTGCCTACAAAGAGCAGCGTTTGCGGCTGAGCAAATAAGCTTTGTACGTAGCAGCTCCATGCCCTGCCTGCACTGGTGATAAAATCTGTCTCCTGCTCATCCCCAGCCTCTACGAGTGCACAAATACGGATGTTGGAAATGTGGATGTGTTAAGATCACTAGCTATTTCTTCCCTGGTTGTAACTCATAACCTCAAAAATTCGAAATCCGTTGTGCTGTGTGACTGGAGACAAGGCAGTTCAAATGCATATTGATGTATAAATGAGAAAAAAGCTTCTGCTTTCTTTCTTTTGTCCGTGAAAGCATCTCAGGGGATTTGCAGCCGTGTGGTGCCAGTGCTCGGCAGAATGTTCCCGCGGCTCCGGCAGCACTGATGGCTCATTCAATTTCGAGCAACTGCCAAGGCCACACAGAAACACCCGAGAACAAAAGCACAGACTTGACTGAAATTCCTGTATTACCAAAAAAAAAAAAAGAAAAACAAACCATGACCCCTCTGCAGTTGAAAGGAAGGATAAAACAAAACAAACAAAAAAAACCCCGAAAGGATGAGCTAACATGTAAGCTGGAGCAAACCAGAGAAAAACTGCCTGGAGGAAACCCTTCGGAAGCAGAGGGAAGAGGAGAGGAAATAAAGAACAGGGGTGACAGATTCCAGCAGTGGAGGAACTAAATGTAGCTTCAGCTCAACCCTTTTCCACAAATGCATAGAACAAATTTACCACCTAGTCCAAATGACTGAGACCAGGAGGGAGTGATGCCATCGAGACAAAATTATGCAAGCCCCTTAATCCAATAAGCATTCATTGGACTTGGAGTGTATTCACTGTCATTTTACAATTCTGAATCACATAACTATACCCCAATTATTAATGGCAATTGTTAGCAGCTCCATTTTAATTAGCTCCCATGCTCTAAGAACAGAACTGATGTATCATTTAATTTTGTATTAGGCCAGTAATCTTCACTCATATGATGTAAATTTAAGTGCACTGAGAAATGATTGAACCCTCTCAAAAAAATTACACTTGGAGTAGGTATTTCACATGAAACTTTAAAAATAGAAAATTAAAATCTGTTCCTCCCATTATTCTTTCCTGTCTCTTTTGCTGGGTGATATACAAGGCAGCAGCGGCACATAACTGGTATGACTGATGGTCACATATTAATTATTATTCAGTTACTTCAGTCTCAAACATGAGATTTTCCTTTTAAGAGTAAGCTACACTGCAGAGCGTTTGCAGAAGGCATGCAGACAGTGCAAGGAGCCTTCGTGGGTAAGCGGAGTTTCAGTACAGATCTGTTAAGTGCTTTTTAATTTTATGCACTCTGGGCACTACTGCGTGACCTTACCGACAATGGTCTTACTGTGTCAAAGTAAGAACGAGGATTGGAACAGGGTGTGCCTGAGGTTTTAAGAAATACTGCTCCAAGCCCGTGAGAAACTCATACAGAAATCATTTCCCATTAATACAGTTGATCTGTCTTGCTGTGGTAGGAGGCAAGAAGCAGTCAGACCAAGCTTTGACCTTCCCAGACCTTTTTACCTCTTAATTTCTTTGCATGGAAAATGTTTCATACAGACCTACCTTCCATTTGTTAAGCAGAATGTTTCAAACTTTGCTGCTCCTAAAGCTGTTCCCAAAACAGTCTTTCGCTCCAGGATGCGTCTCTCTACCCTGTAAAAAGTTCCACCAGTTTTATATAACTGTCAGTCTCAAGCCCTTCAGGTTCTAACTAAGAGCGCTGAACTCCTAACCCCCAACGTCGGGAGCTGGATTCCACAGCCTGGTTTAACAGGAAATGTTGCTGCTTGGTTTTGCAGATTCGAAACGTGGCGGCCAACCTCTGCGTGGACAGCAAACACGGCGCCACGGGGACCGAGCTGAGGCTAGACGTCTGCGTGAAGGACGGCTCAGAACGGACCTGGTCACACGAGCAGGTATTTTATCCATGGAAGGAGAAATGCTTCTCTTTTCCAGTTTTTAAACATTCCTCTGAGGGCTCTTACTTTTCCTAAGGCAAAGCAGGGTGTAGAAATAATTTGTGATTGCTGACCTTCATGGCTTATATAACGTGCCCTTTAACGTAACCTCAGAAATCCCAACCACCACCTGAGCCATATACTCTTTTTAATTACCAAAAGGAATTGCAATGCCCAAAGAGCTTTTGGGTGCCCTGTTCTCCCCCACTGTGTAATGAAAACATGTTGGTTTTAGTTCAGTTATCTGAAAATACTTTAAATATAGTGCCTGGGCTTGTAAAGCTCTAGTGGTTGTCGGCTTCTATGCTTTCATCTCAATAAGCTCAATAAGTGGTTATATTTTAAATTAATATGAGATATAGGTGAGACAAATGGGTAAAAGCTAGAAAGAAAGAGTATCACAAAGACAAGGGATGATAAAGACTCAAAAAAAGCTTTTATCTGGGTTGGTTAGGTAGAAAAATATTCGGTCTCAGGAGTACAGAGGAAAAGAGCTCTGATTTGTACTCGTGGCTGTGAGTGCCTCAGGAAAGGGATCACGACCCACAGGCTGTGGGTCTGGCCAACGTGAGCAAAGAGAATCCAGATAAAAAGTACAACCTAACCATTTATTAGCGATTTTAGTGAACGTGCCTTTCACAGGTCAAGGTCCCAGATTAGAAAAACTTCCCAATGTTGAGGAGAAAAATTGGGCTGGCAGTCGCACATGGCATTTTGTAAAAGCTTAAAAGCTCAGGAGAGAGGAGTTCTGAGGGGTGTTTGAAGTGCTGAGGTCAAGAAATCATTCTCGGAGGACACTGAGAAATGCAGGGGAGAGGTGCAAGTGAATGAAACGAAGAAGCTGAAGGATGATCCCAATTTGGGTAAGTGCCGACATGGTACAAGGAAAGTTGCTGAAAGAAGGCTTCTTCATGTAGCCACCACAGGTGTAGCACAGCGATAGGATGCCAAGGGCTAGATTAATCTAATCCTGTTTTGTTTATGAAAGACAATTCAATTCAAACAATTAATTGGAGGAAGTTGCATGGTCCAGACTAGATCATCACAGTGCTCTCTGGCTTTAAAATCTGCAAACCTGAAAAGCTCCAAACCCTCCTCAAGAGGGGAGGGAGTCCTGAGGCTGCCAGAGGTGAGAGAAAGGAGGGAAGGAGGGACCTGGGGGTGTTGGTGGTCAGCTGGCTGAATATGAGCCAGCAGTGCTCAATTCTTGCCCAGGTGGCCAAGAAGGCCAACGGCACCCTGGCCTATATCAGCAATAGTGTGGCCAGCAGGACTGGGGCAGTGATGGTCCCCCTGTACTGGTGCACTGGTGAGGCCCCAACTCGAGGGCTGTGTTCAGTTTTGGGCCCCTCACTGCAAGAAGGACATTGAGGTGTTCGAGTGTGTCCAGAGAAGGGCGACGGAGCTGTGAGGGGTCTGGAGCACACGTCTGGTGAGGAGCGGCTGAGGGCCCTGGGGGTGTTCAGCCTGGAGAGGAGGAGCTGAGGGGAGACCTTCTCGCTCTCTACAGCTCCCTGAAAGGAGGGGGTAGCGAGGGGGGGTCGGTCTCTGCTCCCAAGGA